ACAGGCTAGATCCAGCACGGGGCACAGAGGCTGCTGCTGTGTGACCATCGCAGCAGTGGCAGGTCCTGACATGATGAGAGGTTCAGGGTGGCAACGGGTTGGCAGTGTGACAGATCTGGTGGTAGCAAGGTACCTGGTGGTAGTATTGGGTCTAGGGGCAGTGGTCTGAGCAGGACCAAAAGGCCCCATATTCTGCAGCAGGCCATGCCCTCTCCAATCCCCAAATAGCCTTCCTATAGCCCAGCAGACTGGACAGACTGGCTTCATGGCTTTAGACCAATGATGTCAACATAGGGCCCACTGGCCAGATCTGGACCATGCAAGTGGTCCCATGGGGCTTCTTGCAGGGTGGACCACACACCTCTACACCAGATTCAGCTTGAGGGACTTGTTGCCAAACCAGAGGCAGAGTTAATCCTCACAGCTGCCAGGACTGTTGTTTCAGTATAGCTCCAGAACCCAGGGAGTTATCTTTCCTCCCTCCCCATCGACAGCCATTGCCAAAATTGGTGCATTCAGTTGCCCCTGAAACAGTGGCTCTGGCAGCCACACGGATTCATGCTGCTACCTACTCAAGGATTGTCCACCCTGTGGGAAGGCCCGTGGTCTAAAGCCTGCCAAATGAAGGCCAAATGAGTTTGGCATCCCTGGTGTAGACAATACAAACTCAAATGTATCTTCCCTAGTCTTAATATTTCAAGTTGTGTATAATTTTACTGCCTGATATATCATTTAATTAATTAATTTCTTACAGAATGTAAGTCATTAACCACACTGTACTGGTAACCATTGGTAACTTGGTATCACTTTGTCTGCATATAGTGCAATTTCATGTTCCATGTTGTTAGGTGTAACCACTGCTTAAGGTATGATTCTGATGTATTTTTGTACTAGGTGTTCAAGGAAGAGGGTAACCAAGAAGGGGAGTTAAGGACAACTGAGGGACTAAGTCTAGTTCCTCTTTGCAGCTTTAATACTTCTGAGTTTAAGCAGTTAACTTTTATCCTAGCAGATGGGACATTTATCCAAGGCTTCATATCACCTTCAAAACCCATCACTTACAGTGGAGTTTTAATTAAAAACCCCTCAGCTCTGTCAAAGGGCTTCTCAGCATCTAGCATTAGCAATAGATTTTGGTTTTTATTTAGCATATCATTATCAGCACTATCATCATTATTATTATCATTATTGTTGTTGTTTAATTTTAGCACCTTGGGACTCCAGTCATCAGCTAGGGCTCATTTCTGCTAGGCAGTATACAAACAGGACAGAAAGGGAGTCCCTTTCCAAAGACTTTGCAATCTAACTATGAATGTCCCCCATGGTTTACCTAATATCCACCTGGCACAACTAAAGGAGGGAGCTACCAGAAGGAATAGCCTTAAAATACACTAGGCAGCAGTATTGAGAGATAAAGGAAAGGATCTACAGTGTGGCTGGATTCACCTCTCCCTTAATCTGGGCCCATCTACACAAAATGCTTTATTGTGCAGCAGACTAATTTGCTGCACAGTAAAGCATCACCATCTACACGTGTGTGGCAATTAGGGCACAGTAGACTAATTTACTGTGCTGCCAGATAGTTCTATGAGATACAAGTGATATCTGACAGCACAGTAAATTACTGCTCTTAAACACATATATAGACAGTGATGTTGAGATTAGTTTACTCCAGCTCAAATTAAGATGGAATATATTCAGACATTAACTGCACTTGTAGAAGTGCCCACTGTGAGTCATAGAGGCCGGATTCCTCTCTTACCAGCAGGATGATGGACACTGATAGGGGCAGTGGGCACGGAAAGCTTCCCACCGTGCTATGCTTGCAGCACTAGCAGTCTAGATAAATAGGAGCCATGAGTCTCCAGAGCCTTCAGTCTGGCACCTTTCACTAATGTTAGCATAAGATAAGAACAACAATAATATTAGGCAAGGATATCTTGAATTTGAAAGCTTGTCTAACTCTATACCAACTATGCAGTTTGTCCAATAAAAGATACCACCCTAAGAAATCCTTGCCTCTTAAATAATTTCTGGACCCTGACAGCTAGGTCACTCCTACACTACAGTAATATTATTTTTAAGTTTTACCCTTTAAAAAGCCCCTACCCTTTAAAAAGCAGAGCTTTGTTACTGCTACCTTCTGCAATGCCACAGGTGCTCATGGTAGTTTACAGAAAAAAGGCAGGCATCTATCATAAGGAGCTAAAAACTAAGGGCCCAGTCTTTGCTTACTTACTTCATGTGTCATGTGAGACAGATGCTGGATGCCATGTGAGACAGAACACAGAAAGCAATGTCAAAGGGTGGTGGAAGTCTGGAGAAAGTTAGTGTTACAAAAGAGGCATTGCAGCTTCCTTAGAGCAGGAACCTAATCTTTATCCTGATGCCCAGTACAGTAGGGAACCAGAGAGGGCCTAAGCATAGCACAATGCAAAAGCATAATAATGAAAGGTCATGAGAGAAACTATTGTAAGTCCCCAGCTAGTTACTTCTACTTGGTTTGGCTTTAACATTATTTATACAGCCTACCTCTTTCTATGTATATGTTTCTTTCTCCTCCTCCTTTTTAAAAATAGAGTGAGTAAATGAATCATTTGAACAAACAAAATCTGGCAAGAGTGGAGATGGGGGTGGGGGACTGATTGAGTGAGGTGAGTGGGCTCCCCTGTCACCAGCCCCAGCTGGCCACTCTCCCTCAAACATATATCTGTGGCTGGACAGCTAAACTGGGGATTCCATGTCAGGCTTTAATATTGAATAACACCTGAGTAGGGTACAAAATTACAGGTCAACAACCCAGAGTTAGCAAAGAGAAGTAAGAGGAGAAGGCAGTAGAGAGAGTATCAGTGAAAATGTGGTAAGCAGTAATAGCACTTTTCTTTTTCCCCGTCAGCCAGCTTAGAGTGTGGGACCATTATTCTGGGTGACTCTTGTATCATTTGATTTCCCCTGAACTGCAGTTTTCCAATCTCTTTTTCTCTCTAATTATAAAATAAATTATGAATTGTAGGTGAGAGAATCTGTCTCACATCCAGTGGGATCTGGTTACAACTCTTGCTCCTCAGTTACAACTCAATCCTGGTATGCAGTGGCATTCAAACCATTCCTTTGCTGCCGTCTATGCAGAGCACCACAAAGGACTGATAGCTAAGGCAGCTGGCAGACTGTTAGTCAGTGCTTGGGAAACTATCCAGGAAGGAAGAGGTTCTGGCATAAAGGAAGGAGCAGGATGCACCAAGAAAATCTGATTGCCAGTACCTGGTAATTTCTGAAATCAGGGAGAGTGAAGAGAGGTCACCACAAAATAAGTTACCAGCATGAGAGCCAATAATCTTTCCCAGGCCTGGGCTGCAGGCTTACTGGTGTTAGCTCTGACAGATGCCATGTCCATGCATCTCTAACAGCTGAAGGAAGAACCTCCATACACCAGTGACAGCTTCCAAGTGAAGAGAATGCAAAGCAGAGCAAGGGAGAGCCAGGTGGAATGAGGAATGAAAGAGCCTAAAACAATTTTAAAGGAGTCATGGGATTCAGGGAGGAGAGGAAGGCCCTTGCTACTGTGCATGGAGGTGTACTGTATATACTTGGGGTTTGCATTCACAAAATCAAACATTTCTTTTTCATTCCAGACCAAAATGAGATGTCTGAGGGCAGCCTGGAATCACTGTTGCTTGCTGAGCCCTCTGATAGCTTGTCAGAGAAGACCAGAGCAGATAGCTCTGACACAGACCTTGAGATCGAAGGTGAGTGTCTGCTAGCCAGGCTTCCATCCAAACTCTTCCCTTTCCCTCCAATACAGTACCTACTAACAGGTTATATAACACAAGGGACAAAGGACATGCCCCTAGCTAGAATCCCAGCACCCCTTCCTTTTCTGGCAGCTGAGGAAGAACTTTCCCAAGACTAGGTTATTCAGGGGGTCCGGCTTTTCTCTTTTCTATCAGCCTGTGGCTGTCAAGCATAGTCGTGTATCCACTTAGTGTCTGGCTAATCAAACCTTGCTCACATTTTTATATATGGAAGCTCAGGACTGGCACATCTTATGTGTATTATAAACCAAAATGACAAAGAAAGAAAATTAAAAACCAAAAGAATGCAAATAAAATGGGGCATTTTGAGAGAGGCCTTAAATGTCACAGACAAAAGGGCTTTACCTAGAGTGGAACTGGTGCTGAGCTCAACTATTACATGAATGCAGCGAGGCGAGAAAACAGCCTGTAAGTAGTGGGTGTGAGGAAGAGTCCAAATGACAGGTTCCTACAGAAATACAGCCACCACCAGCTGCATCCTTCAGTTTCCCTGCAGCTGTGTCAACAATATCCAGTGGCCAAGATGATGAGGATATGGGGATTCTTCCCACTGTTTGTAAGCCAAAGTGCTTTGGGCTGCCCAGCCTCCTCTGTCCCCATCAGCCACAGGCTTCAATTAAGATAAATAAAAGCTTTCTTGCCTGATGTCAGAAGTGCTCAGTTAGATCGGGAATGGGTTAGTCACATTCCAGGCTGTTGAGGTAAAATGGATACAACCTAAGCACATCTCTGACAGTGAAACTTGAAACATGGGGAGGCGGGGGGCAGGCGTACATAAGCACTATGGGATCCCATGAAAGGGACAGGATGTTTTCCCAGACAGCAGTTCTGGCTAGCAGGGATCCTGTTGTCACCCTGTTGTATTCCGCTTGCCCCAGTGCAACTCAACAGTTAGATCTCATCTAGTTACAAACACTCAGCCCATGAATGTAGCCTGGCCTGTTGACTGAAGACTGGAGTTTAGTCAGACACCTAGAAACACAGGGAGGGAGGTTCTCATGAACATAAGAAGGACCAGTTTTGACTAGAGGTGGCTGCTTTGACCCCTGCAGGCCTGGTGGAGTCTGGGCTGCCTTTGTCTGAGCTTCCCACCTAACTCTAATCTTGCTTTGTAGCAGCAAGGGTCTCCACAAATTGCAAGGCCAGTTCTCAGCTGAGGATGGCTAGGGTTACACCTTCCAACTCTTCCACAATAATGTCCCACTGAACCCATTAAGAATCAATGGTTCCCTCTGCAAGTGAGGAATCAACCCCAGAGATAGATAAGGAGTAAGGGGATATTGAGTGCACACCTCATTGGGCCCCTTTTCTCTGTAGATGCTGAGAGGTCTTTTGGGACCATACAGGGTGCAGAGCTGTATCTGGAAGCTTGCAAGCTGGTGGGTGTGGTGCCCACCTCATACTTTCTTCGGAACATAGAGGAGCCCTACATTAACCTGAATCATCATGGTCTAGGTCCCAAGGGTACCAAAGCCATTGCCATCGCCCTGGTGGTGAGTACACAGCAAGATGAAGCTACTGGTGGCAGACTAGAAGGCAACAGGCCATGTGCAATTTTGGAAGATAATATTGAGTATATGCGACTCTTAACTCTGGGTCTCAAATAATAGCATAGCACAACAGCAACCATGTGAAAGCAGCTTCCTCCCTGCCAGCTCTGCCAGTTTTGTCTGGTCACAGTTCCATTAGGTATATTTCCTGCCATTGCCTTCTTGCGTATGGGGGAGGTATACAGGGACTGTGTAACACTGAGGACACTGCCTACTTTGCTAACCTTCCAGCAAATTTCTCTCACTCTCTCCCTTTCTCTGACCTTGAAACAAAATATGGACCCATTTGTGTACTGCTGAGTCACTGAAGGGCACTTTACAAGGTGGAGGATGGACAGCTAGTCCTAAATGTGTAAACCCATGAAGGGCTTTTGGGAGGGAGGAGGTTTCAAGCTCTGATGATTATAAGTAGTTTCCTTTTGACAAGTGTTTCATGCTCAGCTCCTGGGAGGGCCACATACTTTCTGCACTTTCATCTTTTTGTTTTTAATATTTTTGTAATGAAGGTTTAAAAAGTCAAACAAGTCTCACTATTTTTCTTTTTCTCTGTTTCCCTTTGTATGGCCTGCTTTAGTCTAATACAACCATCACCCATTTGGAGCTGGAAGATAACTGGATCCTGGCTGAAGGAGTCATATGCCTGGCACAGATGCTGAGAGAAAACTGCTACATTCAAGAGCTGGTATCCAGTCTTCCTCCTTGTTCTAATACCCTGAATCATGATAACATGTATACAAAATCACCAAGTTAATTATCCCCTCTAGTAACCTGTCTCTTAACTTACAGGGGTCAAGCTACCAATTCAATGCCATTATTAAGACTGAATTCTAGAGGTATACTGATACATCAGTCTGATATTGGATTGGCACCAATATAAAGAAATTGACTATCAGAAATCAGCCCAACGTGGCCAATAATTTGGCCGATAAATGACCCGTGCATGCACGCAGATGGAGCGCAGCATGTAGGTGGCGAGGAGCAGAGCCCGGCAGCTTGGAGAGCTGTGTTCAGCTGGTAAGTCTGTTGTGGTAGAAGGGGAGGGGGGAAGGGAAGGGGCATGGGGGGTGCAGTTTAAGCCCCCTGCGTTGAAGGAGGGAGGGAGTGGGGCTGGGGCTGGGGCAGGCGCTGCCCAGCCTGGGCAGGGCAGGTGCAGGATGGAGCTGCAGCTCGTCTGAGGGGCGGGGG